ATTTCTGATGAAACGTATCAAGTTGCTGTTCACACCTATCATTTTATGGAAGGATTTTAAAAAAATAAAATTAGTAAAAAAAAAAAAAAAAAACGTATATTTTTATTAAATTGTTAAAAAATTTTAAAAAAAATTCAAAAAGGGACTTCTCTCTCTCTCTCTCTCTCTCACACACACACACACACACAATATCAGGATATATTATTGTTTCATTCTAGAAGTAACCTTTACCAGAACAAGACATATTCCCCATAATGCATACAGTCAACGCTCGTTATCTCAAACTTGATTGGACCAATTAAAACTTCGATATATCCAAGGGTTTGAGTTAACAAAGTTTAACTGTACGAGGTGTCAGAGATCAAACATTCTGGATGAGTATAAGTTTGTCTACATCAAGCAGACACTTGAAATTGATTAACAAAGTGGAGAAGGGGGAAGCTGGGCCGAGGCAGGGAGAAAATAAAAAATGACAAGTCACCTTATCAAAACTTTGACAATAAAAAGGTGACCATACTGCATACTCTGTGTGTGTGTGTGTGTGGGGGGGGGGGGGGAGGTCACTGAAAATTTCCATCCTCATTTTCTTTTTTATCATTATCAACATTCTGTATATCATTTCATTATATTTGATGGACATAGCTCTCCAGAAAAGCTTTGGAAAACTGGCAATTCTGGGGTGGTTTGAAGACTCTAAATTCCTTAAATTGTTAGGTGATAGCCGTATCCGAAATTCCAGAGAGCTTGAGAAAGGACTACGATTTCCGAAAGTGATGCAATTACACGCAGTTTTTGTCTGATGAATTAACAATTGTCGATAAAAGGAGATAAACGGAGAAAATTTTTATGTTTATACATTACTTTAGATACATGTTGACTAAAGTTTACTTAAATGATTTATTTATTGAAATTAAGATGACTGTAATTCTTTGTGTACAAGCGGGATCAAAACTCTGAAAAAATGCTGATATTTTATCAATTAAATGTTTTGTATAAATTTTATCCGTTATTCTGTGTTTTTTTTTTATTTCTCTGCTACGTTGAAGCAGCCTCTTCTATTCAATTCTATGAACTGCGTGTTGAATTTACTCACACTTGTCCCAGTCTTGGCCAAAATGCATAAATAAATAAAAAAAAATAAAAATATAAATAAATAAAAATCAACTGGATTGACAAGGTAGCATAGAAAAAAATAGATAAATCTATTGTTTTGGCATTTTTTAGCCTAATGTTCTTTTCTTTCTTATAAAAAGAGAGTTAAGATAATGAATACCCTATTTTGAAACAGTTCTATATCAAACCATGAATTATAATACACATGTACGACAACAAGAGAACTAAAAGGAAAAATCAAATTTAACAATTGAATTTTCATTTCATTACCTATTTTTGTCGCCATGAAGTCTTTTCAAGTTATCATTGCTGAAAGGACAAAATATAAAACAAAATCGAGCCATATGAGAATAGGCCCGAAAGTAGCAATTTCACTGGGGAGGGGAAGGGGAGACATACAGGAATTGTCAAATAGCTCATTGAAAAAAAAAAAGAATGAAGAAAGTCAACAGACGCTATGAAAATTTTGTGTGTTCCCGGGGGGAGGGGGGGGGGCTGGCATTTTTAAGCATATACTGGTAAGGGTCTGGAAGCAAATTCTCTTTAGAAAACTGCTACACGGTTTTATTGATATTATGGATATCAACGTCTTTTGCATTAAGTGTGTGAGTGAGGGGGTTAACTTTTATGTCATCTAATGTAAATTACAGGATCAATCAATAAAATGTCCTGATGTTAAGAGAGAGAGAGGGGATCCCGACAAATGTTTTTAAACAAAATTGCAATTAAAGTTTTAAACAATATAATGAAATCAAATAGAAATTTATTGAATTTCATTATCTATTTTTTTAAAAATTTTCCAGCGAAATAACAAACTTTTATAGCAGCTTAATACATTTTTTATTTGAAAAAATACCATATGCTATTCTTAAATGAATGGGGCTGCTTTAAAACCAAACAAATAACGATGGAAATTATAATAGTAAATAGTTTAGACATCGGGATCGAGATGCCTCTCTCACCTCGATACGTATACGGATACGGATACTTATACGGATACGTCAGATAGAACAATCTCTTATAAGGTATATATGTATCGGAGTAATCGGACTATTAATATAACTCTTCATACTACCTACAAACTCTCAATATACCGTAAGAAGGATGTCAGTATGAGTAATCTTTAGTCTGAGTGTGGTTAATTCAAGTAACAAAAACTTGAGTTTGAAAATGGGAGGGACGGGAGATTGGGGAGGGGGTTACCCTCCACTTTCAAAGGAGTTGGAAAATTAAGTCATAGGGGCTTGTATTCCGGATGGTTAAATGTAAAAGAAATTAATAAAATTTTGAATTTACTTTTACACTTAAAAAGTTGATACAGTAAAGATTCTGACACTCTCAGACAAGAAATACCAGGTTAAAAAAACGTACCACACGTATAAACATAAACTCTACAAGTAGAGTTTATGTATATTCGTGTGGTACGTTTTTTTTTAATTTGTTCAAATTATGACCCCCTTCGTAGGGTGAGGCCACAATAGACGATCAAAATTTTACATAGAAATATATACATATAGGAAATCATCCTCTCAAGAACAGGAGAGAGAAGGTTATAGTCATATGAAAATGGATGCTCAGGGAGTTAAGATTTAGGTTTGTTCAAAACATGGCCCCTTAGGGTAAGGTGGGGCCACATTAAAAGTTGCGTGGAAATATATACGAAAAATCTTTAAAATTCTTCCTCCAATGAACAGCAAAACCATTATTAGTCATATAAATATACAAGCATCCTCATATAGTTTAGATTCAAATTTGTTCAGATCAGGGCCTTTGGGAATAGGTTGAGGCTAGAACAGGCGATTAGAGTTCTACAAGTGAGTGCGTATACAGGGGTCAAGAGACAGGCACTTGGGGGCTGAACCCCCCTTTCCATTTTTTTTCTTTTTTAAATCGGGGGTCTACACACAGTCGTTTTTCGACTGATACATAAAAAGATTTCTCTTTTTATGCATCAGTCGAAAACGATATATTTAAAAACAGGTTGTTGAGACTAAAGGGTTACATTATCGATATCAGGTAGTGCAAACATGTATAAGTATACAAAAATAGGAAAATGTGTAGACCCCCGATTTAAACAAGAAAAAAATGGAAATGGGGGGGGGGGCAGCCCCCAAGTGCCTGTGGTCAAGAGTGGCAAGACCATGCACTCTGAATTATACATGTACATGTATCAATAAGCAAAACATACCTAAGTAATTTTTTTTAGAATTATATTCCCTCAGACTTTCGCATTTTAGGGTTGGGTCGATATCAGATACCCAAAATGAAATTTTACATATCATGCATGTGTACAGGAAAAAAGTTCGGATCAGCTGGGCTATAAGTTGATCGTATTGGAATATATCCAATATATATATTGTGTGGATTCAACATTGATTAAATCATAGGTCTCTTGGGGCTAGATTTTGGTTCACAATAATGAGTCAAAACTTTAATGAAGTGAAAGAGGGATTTAAAAACCGGAGGGGACTATAGGTTTCCTCTCCATCTGTCTGTCCCTCTGTAACATGCACTTGATTTTTGCAGACCTTTTTTCTAGACTTAATGAGTTAAATTAAATAAAATTAACATTTCCTTTCGCTTCGATGATTTTTGACGAAATTATGGCTTTCTTTTTTTTTTCGTTACATGTACGTGTCAGGTTGGGCACAATCCATGCACTTTACACCTAGGACAAATCTAACCCAATGAAGGATGGTAAATAAAAAAAAATAGACCACTGATAAATTGCATGTATCTTATATTTAATCCAGAGTACATATATACATAACACAGGTATTTATTTCATTGCTTTCATATAAATGGCTCATACGAATACATTCCTACATGCATACCCGATGGCTCTTCCATATTCAAGGTACATATATGTATACCTATTTAATATTATCTTGTTACAATATTTGAAGCACTATATAATTTTTTGTTATTTCAATTCTTTAATTGATTCAGCTACACGGATTATAAATAATATGTGTTACATATAACTTTAAGTGTAAATTAATGATTTATTAATAATAAATTTATTTATAATAAATTCATTTTATAGTTAGTAAATATTTATGTAAAAGGCATCTTGGATAAAGTCAAGAATTGTTGAACAACAGCAGATCGAGGATTTTTTCCGGGGGGTAGGTGGGTCTATATCCACTCAAAAAATCCGACTCAGAATTTTTTGACAAACAAATGGGATGCTGTTGATGTTGGACACGTCTATGCACAAGCAGCTTTCATGCATATTTGTGATACAAGGGGTCAATGTTTCCTGGGGAAGGGGGTCTAATGTCATTATTGGTTACTTAACTGTAAATTTTATATACAATGTATAACTATAAAAATCCCATGGTTGGTTGAGGGGGTCATCCCGCCCACCTCGACCACTCCGCTTGATCTACTGCTGTTGAAAAAATTAAATAAGAATGTCCTAGATTCTCAATCATTTGCTCTTCTTAAAATACCTTAACTGAAAAAGATGTTTGGCTTATTTATAATAAAAATCCACTGACAGAGGACACAGCTTAGGAAGGGGGGGGGGGCTTAAAATGATACAAAGCATAATTAGACAGATGGGACATTAGTAACCACGGCATGAAATTTGCTTTGTCCACCAGGCCGTTTTTAAAGAGGCCACAACAGGATATACAGCGCTATATGTATAGATTAAAATGTCGTGTAATAGGTTTTAAGTCGTACATGCATCATAAAGCGTCTGTATAATCACGTACATCGCGGTTTATATTCTTAAATACACTACAGTGAAAGTGGTCGTCTTTCATAAATAATTTTAAAAAAAACACGTAGAGTACTTCGGTAGCTATGAATGTATAAAAAAAAAAGGTCTAGCTATTGACACTCTATTTTGATAGAAAATATATCTCTAAAATATATTACTAACTTATTATACAAAGTCTGCTTTTCTTTGACTCAACATCAAGATGTCCATTCATTTCCGGTGGCTTCTTTTTGGTCAACCGTAGCAAGGTGACCTTACCATTCCCAGAACCCACCCATATATTGTCATGGGTCAAGGCCAACGCAAGTGGATATTCTATCCCATCTTTTGGCGCCAAAATATTCTGGACGAATTTGTATTCTGGATTCAAGAGCTGAACTGTATGACTGGACAAGTCACTTACCAAGACAAAGGATTCCGAATTACAACAAACGTCACTCGGATTGAATGGCATTTCACCAAATTTTCTTGGTTTACCTTTACATACACATTTTAGCTGACCAGTTTTAGTTAAAACAACCAATCGGCTTGTTCTATCCGAGGTCCAATCTACCACGAGGATATCTAGATTTCTGTTTTCACTTACTCTGTACGGCTTAGTGAAAAGTCGGTCCTCTTTCGAGTTGGGGCTTTTTATTTTCTGAATTTTTACTCCCTCTCGGTTAATTCTTGCAAGAACTCGCTCACTATTCTCAGACAAGACACAGTCGTCATTGTCCACCAAGCAGACGATAAAATCATCATCCACAGTCGCACAAACACCAAATGGATGAAGTGGCTCTGTTTCAGCAATATCAATAATTTCACCCGATTTGGTTAACAATTTTAATTTCATGTTGTAATAATCCGACATCAGCACTTCTCCATTTCCCACAGGAGTCATGTGGTTAACCAAAAATCCGAAATATGAGGATCGAATTTCATCGCCATCTGGTGTCATTAACTCGTTGTACTTGGATCCAAATTTATGAATCCAGCAATCTTCAGATGATGGACACAAAGTTGGGATTGTTCCTGACCCATGTCGGAAGGAAGACAATTTGGTGACCATATAAGCGTTATTTTCGTCTTCTTCATCGTCAACTGACGTAGCATCATTCGAACGTTCAAATCTTTGAGTTTTCTTCTTTCTTGTGCCTTTATTTTTGCTGGACTTAATGAGAATAGGACGTGCCATGCACAACCATAAAAAAATTCAGCAAATTCCGTAAGAATAACGGTACTTGAGTACTCCAGTTTCCAAATCTGGAAATATGCACAACATGCACCAAACAGGAATCATCAATCAATGACCTAGGTTAATTATTTATATAGATGTAATTTAATATTAAATCATTCTGTTAATCTTATCCAAGTCCTTTAGCCTCTGTCAAAAACGTTGATAAACATCCAACATTTAAAAGTTGTATTGTTAGTTTTTAAAATTGGTCCGTCTTCTTGCGTGACGAGCTTCATGAGTCGATTCCACCCCTGCTCCGTAATGTTTTTCTGGAGGAGGTTAATCAAGCATGTATTTTCAACAAAACCTGAAACTTTTACAGCACGTAAAATTGTTACGTTAACTGTTACATTTACTCATTTTATTGTTCTTTACTATTGACACATTATAATTACATTGTGTATTAATATTATGCATGAAATAACTTTTGGAAAACTGATTTTGTACCGCCCATATCACAATAGATTTTAATTTGCTAGTAAATGATATGATGTCCAGTGATGTTTCTTGTGAAAATAATACAACTCTTTGTTAATATTCTTTCAATAACTCTTTCTTAATATTCATTCCATTTGGATGAATGTTAAAAAAGGAATTTTTAAAAAAATGTTAAAAAAAAAATGAATATTCATTTATTTAAACATATTGAGTCATTCGGCATATATATATTTTTAAAAAATCCTATCTCTCGTTCACTTTTATTTCCAAAAATATGAAAAATTTTATTTTGTGGATTTATTCATAAATGTAGCTATTGCATTAAATTATTTACATGCATGTATTCATTGAGATTTGGCAAATGCAGAATACCATATAAATATACTGGTCCAAAAAAACAAACAAACAAACAATAAAGCTGCATAACAGAAATAATACCCTGAATAATATAAAATAGTTTTGTCATACATTTTATTTTAGACGGATATGATTCATTCGAGTAAAATACATGATTGTTTTACGCTGTTGTTAACTTGACAGCAATTCTACAAAGCTCACTGACAGAAATACCTGATTTTACAAATTACTACAATCTGGTCTTTCTAACACTTTTCTTGGTTTCTGATTCACATCCTTCAGGTGTATATCAAAAGATGGGGTTCTCGGTTTCTTTAATTCTGATTTTTCAGCAAAATGACGCTGTTTAAAAATGCTGCATCACAGGTACTTGGGGACATGCAGACCCCCCCCCCCATTCAACCCCATTATTATGTATATAGTGGGATATTTTTGTGTGGAACGATTATTTTGGGGTTTTCACGATTTTTTTCCCTATGGTACACATGATGAATAAGTGTAATAAATATAATTTGTGAAAAAAATGTCCAACAAGCCCCGGGGTTGAATATCGGGGGGGGGGGGGGTCCTGTCCACAAGTACCTGTGGGCTGCATCTGAATAATGCATATCACAAAAAAGAAATTAGGTGACTGGAAGCAGTCTACAATCTGCAGGAGGTTTTAATGTATATCTCATCTATAAAACAGATACATACAACAAATGATAGCCAAAAATATGACAGACCATGCGTGACATTAGCAGCACACAATCGCCTCAGTGGTTTACGTAATTTTCATCATTAACCTTCCACAATAAGCGTCTACACCATTAGATATTCCTGAACTGCACAGAATATCAAACACGACTGTTTGCAATTGACTTTTCAATATGCTGGATGGCATGCCAAACGTTGCAATATTCGATCTGTTCTATTTGTATTGTATAACTTTCCATTTGTATTGTATAATTTTCCATTTTTATTGTATAATTTTCCATTTTCCATTTGTATTGTATAATTTTCCATTTGTATTGTATAATTTTCCATTTGTATCGTAAAATTTTTCCATTTGTATTCTATAATTTTTCATTTGCATTGTAAAATTTTTTATTTTTTATTTGTATTCTATAATTTTTCATTTGTAGAAATTGTAGAAAACAAATAAAAATTATATAACACAAATGAAAAATTATACAATACAAATGGAAAATTACAGAATACAAATGGAAGATTATAGAATACAAATAAACATTATACAATACAAATTGAAAATTATGCAATGCAAATGGAAAATTATAGAATACAACTGGAAAAGATCGAATATTGCAACGTTTGACATGCCATAGGAATTAGTCAGAGGACCACATTCCTGCCATTGTTCTGATCCCAGTCAACACCGTAATTATCGACTTCAGAGGTCTCAGACCAACAGAGAATGGCCATAGCAACACCGCTGAACAGTTCGTTTTAGCTACTAGTCGAAAATGTTTATTCCAAAGCTTGCATGATGTAAGAGTCAGAATGCATAAGCTTGAAATTCGCCGTATTGAATGTTTCACAGAAAAATGCCTCCGAAAGGTTGATAGATTTGGTGTTGGTGGTGAAATGATGTGGAAAACTGTATTATACAAGCAGGACTGATTTGGTTCATATTCAGAGGATTTTGGTAGCAAAAGGGTACATGTACTTAAAATCGATGTCCTGTAGATGTCTTTCCAATAGTGCAGCATCCTGGAGTCGTATGTCAGTCTGATAATACACAGCCATATACGGCTCGTCTTGTTTGTCACATGTCTTTTATCAATAATACATCATTCTATTAAGCAACCTTTATGTTCAATGTGCCACTAAAATTTTTCTGTGCGGTTTTGTTTTTTAATTTAATTTAATTTTTTTTTTAATATACATGTATAAGCCCACGTAAATGTATTCACATCGAAGGAGAAGGGGACTATATTTACGTCATGTCACACGCTTTTAACAGTCTGATCAAACGATCTGACACATTAGTGATGAAATTTTCTATTTTAATTTATATCATTAAATAAAATAAATCATGACCCCCCCCCCCCCCTCCGAAAATCCTGCATTTGATTGGTGATTTCATTCTAAAGATGAAGTACATCTCCCAACCATTCTTTTACAGACATGTATCTGAACACCATTATCGTTTAAATAGCTTTATGGGGTAGGATGGTGTCGCATAATTTACGTTCCGGATACTTCGCGTTCCGGCCGGAACCTTAAAATCATAATATTGGTTCCGGATTTTGCTGTAAGTTTGGTTCCGGCCATGGCTGCAATCTTCGAATCGCGGTATCTCTCAATTAATATCTGCCAGATTTCATTCTACACTGAATCATAGAAGTAGTTTTTTCCTTGAGGATTAAGCATGGCGCAGCGGCATGCCATTCTCATGTGGCGCAATGTTCTTTTTATAAGGCGTCATGCCATTTTTTTACAGCCATTTTTAAAAATAAATGAATTAAATAGTCCAAGTAAAGATCGTGAAATACGCTTTCTGATACATATACACCGAATAAAATTTGGTCGCAAGAAAGCCTTTGTTTATCTAATGCATACAAATTAAGTCCCTTTGTTTATTTAGTGCATGTCAGGTGTGAATTTCTCGCTTGAATGCACGCAGACCTGGTATTTACAGGGTAAAGAGGATAGAAGATTAACTAGACTGAGATTACAAAACCCTAAAAAGAAGCATAATGTCAAAGATAGATTTGATCAGTAAATTTTAATTTTATAATCTGATAAAGTAAAGAATTAAATACAAAATGGTATATGTATTTATAGAGATGCATTCTCTGTTTAAATGATATTACAAGTGTTGCAAATTCCACAATGTCGAGCCTCGAATACATGGCTTCCAATCCTCATAGATATTATCACTTGGCATGAAAATATGATTTATATTCCATTAGAAATAAACAAACATAAAAAAATATAATTCACTGATGAAGATAGTTATATAGTTTTTGTGATAAATTAACAATGGCTATTTCAGGAATATGTGGTTTATTCTGCAATGAAACAAACATAAAACATAACGATATGGTTTATTCCCTTAGAATGAACAAACACAAGTAATTAATGAAAATTATGTTGTTGTTGTTTTTTAAAGACCGTAGGAAGAAAAAAAAACAAGGTTGAAATATGAAAAGTAAAGACCAGCAATGTTGATTTTGAAAATAGCAGTGAGGTAAACTGAATTAGCTCAAATATTTTAGTAAAATCAAGGTTTTAGCAAATTTTAAATGATTTTTTTTTTATGTTTTAAATGGACTTTTCTGTAACTTCGATGCATATCCTACCCACCCACCCCTTAAGATATTTGGGAAATAACTTTTATTCCTTGGTGTTTTTTATACATAAAACACAATAAGAAAATGACAATTTTCGTGACACTTTAAAACTTTATCGTTTTATACATACCATTATGTTTAATGAATATCAAAATTTGTGGAGAAAAAAAATTCAAAATACATATAATTATACATGTAGGCAAAGGGCAAGCGGCAATAATGTAACACCCCTCCATTTTTTTTAAATCTCAGTCCCTCCCCCAAATTTGAAAAAAAGGAGGTTATAACAGCTCCAAAAATAAAAATTATTAAAAAAAATTGTTAGTTAATTATCTGAGCCCCCCCCCCCCTCCAAAAAAAGGGAGGAGTTTAAATTATAGCATCTGCAAAAATGTAAAATTGTAAATTAATTTTTTTTTTTAATTAAAAATAATTATCATTCCAGGTTACAATTTCTGAGACTAATATCAAACATTTTTGTTTCCTGTTCATTGTATTCTACCTTATAAAAAGATAATAGTAAAATAAATTCAGACTTTTTTGTAACTAAGTTGTTTCTGTTTCACTTTATTACGAAGATAAAAAAGTCCGGAACCATAATTATTGTCAGAATTAACGTTCCGGGTTACAATTGCGGAGAGTATTTTCAAATATATTTGTTACATGTACTAGGTTGTTTCTTTTCCACTTTATAACGAAGATGAAGTAGCCCGGAACTAAAATTATGGTCATAATTAACGTTCCGGGTAAGAATTGCTGAGAGTATTTTCAAATATTTCTGTTACAAGGTTGTTTCTTTTCCACTTTATTACAAAGAAAAAGTAGCCCAGAACCAAAATTATGGCCATAATTAACTTTCTGGGTTGGAAGTGCTGAGAGTATTTTCAAATATCTTTGTTACTAGGTTGTTTCTTTTCCACTTTATAACGAAGATAAAGTAGCCCGGAACTAAAATTATGGTCATAATTAACGTTCCGGGTAACAATTGCTATGTATTTTCAAATATTTTTGTTACAAGGTTGTTTCTTTTCCACTTTATTACAAAGATAAAGTAGCCCGGAACTAAAATTATGGTCATAATTAACGTTCCGGCTTACAATTGCTATATATTTTCAATCATATTTGTTACTAGGCTGTTTCTTTTTCACTTTATTAGGAAGATAAAGTAGCCCGGAACTAAAATTATGGTCATAATTAACGTTCCGGGTTACAATTGCTATGTATTTTCAAATATTTTTGTTACTAGGTTGTTTCTTCTTCACTTTATTAGGAAGATAAAGTAGCCCGGAACTAAAATTATGATCATAATTAACGTTCCGGGTTAGAATTGCTGAGAGAATTTTTAAATATCGTTGTTACAAGGTTGTTTCTTCTCCACTTTATTAGGAAGATAAAGTAGCCCAGAACCAAAATTATGGCCATAATTAACTTTCCGGGTTAGAATTGTTGAGAGTATTTTCAAATATCTTTGTTACTAGGTTGTTTCTTTTCCACTTTATAACGAAGATAAAGTAGCCCGGAACTACAATTATGGTCATGATTAACGTTCCGGGTTGGAATTGCTGAGAGTATTTTCAAATATCTTTGTTACTAGGTCGTTCCTTTTCCACTTTATTAGGAAGATAAAGTAGCCCGGAACTAAAATTATGGTCATAATTAACGTTCCGGGTTAGAATTGCTGAGAGTATTTTCAAATATCTTTTGTTACTAGGTTGTTTCTTTTCCACTTTATTACGAAGATGAAGTAGCCCGGAACCACAAATAATGTTCCGGGTTACAATTTCTGATATTATACTTTCATGTAAATTAGTTAAAACTGATTCGTCGAGAAACATTATTTTGTTTAAAAAACACGATTACCCGCTGAATGATGAAGCCACGCATTCCAGCGTAGCAACATGCAACACTGTTATGTGTACATGTATTTGTATAAAAATTCAGTATAATATAATAAATATTGCATGTAGTTGCGTTTAACATTTAAAATTTCTCAGGATTGTAAAATACAAATCTGTATCTGTATTACATTTCCTCTTCAGAATTATTATTACAAATGCTGATAAGTTGCACTTACCTGTATAAATAAAAATGAGCTGAGTTTTATTCAATAGTTTTTAGCCGTGACCTTGAAACCTTTGCTAGAATCGGGATCTTAGAAATTTTAAAGTTCGTCATATTTTGCTGGCATTACATTGACTGTTTAAAAAATAAATTTTATCCGAGAAAAAAAATCCACAAAATTTTTTACTGAATTATTACAGGAAATTGCTTTTCTTCATATAAAATACTTTATAAATTTTCCGCTGAAATTAATGTTTATTCACACCTTTGCAAGTCCGTCGCCCACACATCTCCTATTATGTTCATTCACGTAATGTGATTTAATTATATAGTTGGTTTTACAAAAACGCAATGGGTGTTTGAAAAAATATATATAAAGATATCAAAATATTATCCAGTAATTTTTTTAATCGTAAATATAATTCATCTACATGTATTAGCATTACCAGCTGATCGGGGTGCCCTTTGCCTAAAACTCATTTAAAATTGCGGAAGTGACATACAGCGATTCGCATGAATGCACATTGTATCAATAGAAGGGAGTCATAAAACAACATGAAGGGGTATATCAATGTAAACAAGTTTCACACCTTCGCGTTCTTTTGTTTACAAAGAAACAACATAATTACGTGTAATTCCATGGATTATAGTATTGCTACATGTATTAAGACCGTATATTGGGACTTCTTCTAAATCGATATACGTGTAAATCCTGCTGCATCGTATAACCCGTTAAGAGAAAGAAAAAATCCAAATTATTTGTAAATATTAATTATAAATAAAGTTTTTAAAAGGGTGCTTGGATGCCCGGAACGTTTATTATGGCCGGAACCAAACTTACGCGGGCCGGAACGTTTATTATAGCCCGGAACCAATATTATAGGTATTTAGCGTTCCGGCCGGAACGCTAAGTTACCCGGAACGTAAATTATGCGACAATGGACTTAATCCAGGAGTGGATATTGGATCCACTCCTTATTAGAAATACCGGAACCGATATACGGGTTGTCTGGGGATTTTTTCAAAGGACTGTATTAATTGACAAACAAAAAGGAATCCGAACATGATCATTTTTCATATTTTAAGAGAAAAGCAAGAAAGGATGCCATTTCATATCAGTCGATTAATCTCATATAACGATTTTTACCGGGAGATCAAAAATTCATTTCACTGTTTCACGTAAATTTACGTTAGCTTTTGGGTTTTTCTATGAGTGTCTGACCGTATTCAGTGGTATTGACCCCCTCCACCCAGTTTCCTCGTTAATCAGCATATATGAATAAAAAAGTAAAGTAATTATGTTATTAAAGAAAGTCGAGGTAGACTTAATTAATGCGAAGCGATTGGACATTATTCCTTTCCTGAAACAACCCCCGTTTAAACAGGAAGTAACATAGTCTGCATATTTGATGACGTTATGCACCAAAAGGAAGGCGACGAACAAGAAACTGAAGAGTGCTATTGTAACAACCTGTCGTTTTGACGCAGGTTTGGTTCTTTTTATCAGAAATATTGACTTTATTTTTTTATCGAAAGGTTAAACATCCGATTAAGACACTGGTTTCTTGCATCTGAGGCATATGATGGAGCTGTATGTATGCTAAGTTAGACTTGTTATTGTTCATATCCGCCATTATTTTAACACACTTCTGACACTATCCCATCATAAGCGACCGTTGTAGGGTCTCTGAAATTTTATGACAAAGTTGTAATTTTATAAGATACAAGAAGTGTTTTTCAGGAATCAACTTTTGGGAGAGGAATTTATCGTAGGGATGTCGCCGGAAGTGTATATTTAAGAAAGGGGGGTGGTGGTAGTTAGTGTAGACGTTCGGGCCATATGAACCGTGGATATCAGCCTGGGTAGCTCAGTGGTAGAGTACCTGACTAGTGTTACAGGTGTGCGGGTTCGATTCCTGATCCAGCCATATATTTTCTTTATGCATTCCTCCTCTCCTACATTTGGTGGCCAGTGTGGGGGGCCTTCTTCAGGTTCTTTGTAAAATTAATTGTCCTGACAGGGCCAGTGAACTTGTGTCTTTGAGGGCGAAGTGTGTATAAGGAGGAAGGAATATAGAAGTTTAGGCTATATGAACCATGGATATTGGCTTGGGTAGCTCCTTTTCTACTTCAAAAGGATGTGGCAGTGACATTCAAGTATCTCCTTCCCTGTATATACTTTGTATAGAAAAGACTTTCTGCCAATCAAGGTGCCAAAGCTGGATAACAATCTAATTTCATTAGAAGGATTCTTTCAGAACATATTGCTCTTCAAGGGGGTTCTCGTACAAACATCAGGTTGATATCCGGCTTCATTCCCATTGGTCCCAGTATGGAAAGTGTACCATTATATTCAGTAGGGTTACTGAGCAAGGATAAAACTTTACTCAAAGTTACATTCACTTTGTGGGCTCCTAAAATTTAAGAATTTGAAGCCCTTAGAAGAACTTTCTTTCCAAAAATCCAGATTCTCTTAAAAACGAAAGAATTAAAGTGCAGTAATTTATTTATTGAACAAATACCAGAGTATTCAGTTTCCTTTAGTTTTCAAAAACAGATTGATCGAGAGATGGTGTATACACAACACTGTTACAAAATAAACATCTGTTGGTTCATTTGTTATAATCATGATTAATTCTTTCCACAATCGTTGTCTTCATAATCTCAGGTTCTTCCCTGACTGGCATTTCTTTTTTATTTTCTTAATGTTTGAATTTGACACTTTGACTTTTATTCTCGAAAAAAATTGTAGAACACCCAACAGTTAAGATTATTGGACTTTGTCCACAAGAAAAGTAAAATTTTAAAAAAGCTGAGTCTCTTGATTTCATTTTAAACTAAAAGTCACCCAAATGCTTTAATGACAGTACCCAAGTCCCAAGGTATGCATCACAGCATGTATATATACAATTATTTCTTGGGTGACCACAAGGAGACTTAAAGTTTGTCAGCCCATTATGGGAAGTTTTTTTCTGTAATGGCAGGTTAGCAAGTGCAAATAAGTTAAAACCTTGGTCAGTGAGAATAAAATATAAAGATAAGTTAAAATCATGTTAAATATTTATTTATTTAAATAATTCTTCCATAGAACAAACGAGTTAAAGTTTGAGAATACTTGCCCTTTGGGCAAGTGAATCTAAAATCAATGTCTATCCCTGAATGTACATGCCTCGGAAACGTCGTAATGTTTATCAATGGATGATGAATTCTGGGCTTTCGCAATCTCACATATGCCAATTAGTTCCTCTATTGAAAAATACATTTAACATTCAAAGTTGGATTGAGATCGGGATGTTTTGTATTCTCTGCTACTTCATTGTTGTCCTAGTTAGAAGACCAAACACGCCTCTAATTTGAAGAGTTCCAGTAATGGAAATAGAAAGTATTAGCTCCTGGATGTTCTTTAATGGTTCAAAGTTGCCATAGTTATTCTGGTGATTACTGCAGGCGTACTTTTTTCCGCGTGGGATTAATTTAGGCTATGAATGGGGTCACAAACTTGTCACAGCTAACTTAAAGTGCATTAACACAATCAAAGGCAATACAAGAAGTCTGCATAATTTTCTACCAGCAGATTTAACAGAAATTGTGATTCCGCGGAATTATGACCCCTTGAAAAAAGTACTTTTACAGTACCTATACTGGAGCTCGATCGATCTGTTATAGTAAAGTGTGCATCACCTGTCTGTCAACATGGTCGACTTTTTTTTTTGTTTGTTAATTTTTTTTTTTGAATGGTACTCCTCAATTTGTTTGATATAAATAAAACTTGGTACACAAGTAGAGAAGACTACTTCAAGACATAATTCAACTGTGTTGCCAGGGTCACCCAAAATAAAATTCCTCCTGCAATTTTGGGTTGATTTGATTAAAATTCAGTATACAAATAGAGTAAACAGAATACAAAATTCTTATATCTGTTTTCAGTTTTGTTGAGTGGTGTAGTCATATGGTTTCCAAAAAAAAAAAATCATGAAATTCTATCAAAATGCTACTCCTACAGTTTTAGCCTGATTTCAATGAACTGTTAAATACTAATAGAGTACAATCTCTGACACCAGAAACTTCTGACTCTTCATTTGTTTAATTTGTTCTGAAATTGACATTCCCAATCTTGGACTAAAAATTTGATAGGTCTGCATATAATATTAGTTATACCAATATATATTGATCCTCTGTCTTGCAAGGATTTATACCTATTAGATTGTATATATATATATATATATTTCTTTATTTTTATGCTAATAATTTGCTTATAAATGATAACCTTTCATTTTTACAGCTCCTAGCTTGTCCTCGTTAAGAAGACAGCTATAATGAGCCTGAGTCGTCAGCCTTCTTCCTCGGGAAAACAACCCCGCCAGCAAATACACAATGTCGGAACTACAAATATCTCCAACACACAAGCTGCACTAGGTTAGTTTGTTCTGATAATATATAATTATTATGAATAAATGTGTGTGCATTGTTGTTGCACCTAAGGACTTAAGGTTCTTGGAATTTAAGGACATATGCAACGTACCCTTTCCTACTGATATTTTTTCAAGATGTTCTTAAGATTATAGTGCCATCAGATGTTCGTAGACAAAAAATCAACATGCAATACCAGGGGGTTTTGAAAAGATATCAATTGATGAAAATTCTTGTGTAATTCAAAGAAAAATATATAAAAATTACTAAACAAATCCAGGGAAAAAGACAATAAAGTTCAATCTACGTTGCATATGTTCTTAAAAAATCCAATTGATTGATTGATTTTCCAACGTGGAAAATTTTACAATCTGATAATTTCTTGATTAATACTATTCCCACCCCTGGCACCCCACCATCAGCCTTACCATTAAATACACTGTTCTTTAATACTTTTGGAGATGCATGTGGTCTGGTTGGATTATCTGTTTATGGACAGGTTGGCAGGCTGGTAACTGAAGTTGCCTCTGAGAATGTTTTAACTCCAGTCTGACCAAATGATGTCAGGTTTCAACAGTCACAATCATCACCATGATCACCTGGACTTTTCAAGGTTGACCTTCATCTGGACAAACCTGATATTAAATTTATGAGTTCAGTGAAAATATTCTGTTACCATAGTTGCTAGATGTATTTATCACTGAAAAAGGAGTAGAATTTAGATTTTTGCCGAATATTTGTGGGTTGAATTATAGCACACATTTTTGTTCTTACAAAAGAATTCAATTTTTTGTTAGGGGTGAATTTTTTATGAGCAGCCTGAATTCTGTATTGATATTGTGATTTTTGTAAGATGATTGTCCTAAAGGATGGTAACAATTGAAATATAACAAGTGTTGAGCCCAGTAATGTTGCATCTTGTGCCTTTGGATATGAAGACGAATACATGTACCACAAACAGTGTCAATCCACTTGTCCACAGCTGAAAATATAGATACAAATTGGAACCAAGATAACCTGCAAAGGACTTTAAAAATTAGTACCCACCTCCATATTCAATCTGTGACTGTAACACTTAGCTCCATGGAAACAATTGTTGTATACTTATTAATATGTCTGTCTTGAAAAGGTTGTAACATTTCATGTGCATGATAATATAATTTACCAGTGCTGTCATGATTCATTTTCAAAATCAAACCACAGAATATACCGGTAGATAATTTATAACATTTTCAACAGTGAAATACTGTAATTTATTTATTGAAGAAAAGTGATATTCTGACACAGTGTGAAAGGATATCAAAATGGTATTCTCACAGTATGAGAATATCAGAAGTGCGGCAAAACTTCCAATTTTTTTATAAAAAAATCCCTGGTCTGTTATAAGATAGAGTTAATAAGCCATTCTGACAGAGACTAATAGCTATACTGCCAAAGTTTTTCCAAGTATGTTATTAAAAATCCATGTTTACAACATTTTTCAATCTCGCAATTACTTTGCTATGACATCTCAACCGCTTAACTATGATGTCACAGCCTATGACACTGTGTTACAAAAACACAGAGGCAAAGGGAAAATCTAAGAAAATGTAATAAACAGAAAATTCAATGTTTTGTAGATGAATATGGAATTTATTTCACTCCTGAGACAGGATTTTTTGATATTTTCACTCGATCTTTGCACTCGTGTAAGTACCCCAGTATCAAAAAATCCTCAGGGGTTGAAATATACAGTAGCCCGAGGCCCAGGGCTAGTCATTTTAAGACTCGGGCTAGCTAATTTTAATGTAACGATAGTCCGTCAGACTAGCAGAACAGAAAAAAAATTCAGTTCTGTGTAGACTGAATTCTTTTGACTAAGAACTAATTTAATTTGTTTCTATCACCAAAGTATTTGAAACTTTAATTTGTTATTTTTTCATTTTTACATGAAAAATTGTGGGGCTAGTTAGTTTGAGGTTTGGGCTATTAATTTTTTACTGACCAGTAGCCCCTGGGCTAGTGATTTCCAGGAAAATTTCAACCCCTGATCCTGTCCCACTTGTGAAATAAATTCCATATTCATATACAAAACATTGAATATCCTCTATCTGTATAGCAGTAAAAAAAAATAGTGACAGACTCAGGCATTACAAGTAAAACAATGTACTTGTATAAGTTATTTTAAGCATGTTTTTTAAGACCAAGATTATTTTGAGACTACTTAGATTTGACGTATGTTTTAGATGATACATGTATATATTATAAAAGTGAAATACTTTACTCATCTAAGGAAGTTGCACAATTCCGGGTGATCCAACTTTTCATTTTTCCTACACTCAGATCCCATCTGTGCTAATCTTGCCCTTCAATCATATTTGAAGGGTTACTCCAAGAATTGAGATTTGCATTATTGAAGAGGCATTGATAAAGTCAACATGCATATTTAGAATGTAACATCTTGTAAATAATGTGGACAAAGTCAGCAGGAAAAATTGATTTTTTCCAAAGGTATCATATCAGAAGTGATAATTTGCTAATTACGTCAGTATGCAAATGTGGAGAAATGGACACAATTATCACTTTTTTTTTTATGGAGAAAGCATTTGTTTCTTTGAATGGGTCTAGAAAAATAAGTTATTTTGTGTAGAATTGTGATTTTTGGATGTGTGAGGAAACACACACTATTCAAAATGTGCAACAATATGCCTGATTTGCAAACTGAAATGATTGGTAAGTTTATTTAGTATTCTTGGTCTTGTGTTTGTTGTTCACTCACCCTGAGTCAAAGGCTCAATTAAGCTTTTCGGATCAAAATTTGTCCATTTTCTGTTGTCGTTGTTGTTGTCATAAACTTTTTACAATTTCACCTTATCCAGAAAACGGGGCCAATTTCAACTGAACTTAGCACAGAGTACCTTGGGTGGGGTGGGGTGGGGGGATTCATGTTTGTTCAAATGAAGGGCCACATCCTCTTCCAAGGGGAGATAATTAAGAAATAGTGAAAATGGGTGGGGTTGCTTTAATAAAAATCTTTTTTTCAAGAACCACATGGCCGGAGAAAATTATGTGATGAAACTCTTGTGAAAGCTTCCTGAGGTAGTGTAGATTCAAGTTTGTTCAAATCTTGACCCTTAGGGTGTAGGGTGGGGCCACTGTGGGTGATAAAAGTTTTACATGTTAATATAAATTAAGGGAAAAAATCTTTAAAATTCTTCTTCTCAAGAACAGTAAGCCATGATCAATTATATTTAATTGGAAGCATCCTCAAGTAGTGTAGATTCTGGTTTGTTCAAATCATGACCCCTGGGGGTAGGGAGGGCCACAATGGGCAATCAAAGTATTACATAAGAAAACAAAGGAAAAATCTTTAAAAATCTTTTTCCCTGGAACAGCATAGCCATGATTAGTCATATTCATATGGAAGCATCCTCAGATAGTGTATATTCTAATTTATTCAAATCATGACCCCCAAGGTGGATGGGGGGGGGGGCACAATAGGCAATCTAAGTCTTACATAGGAATACATAGGAAAAATCTTTAAAAATCAATCTTCTTTTCAAGAACAGCAAAGCCATGATTAATCATTATAGTCATATTTATAAGGAAGCATCCTCAAGTAATGCAGATTCAAGTGTATGCAAATCATGACCCACTTTGGGTAAGTAGGGGCCACAGTTTGTGATCTCATACAGTAAGATATACATACATGTAAAAGAGTATATAGGGAAAAGAATCTGCTGATGAACAGAAGGGCCATTGTTACTCAGTTAAATGTTGTGGCCCATGGGCCTTTTTGTTATGTCCCACCATGAATATGGCTGGGGCATATAGTGTTTGTCATGTCCATCCTTCCATCTGTCCTTCCATCACGCTTTGCATTTAGCTCAGTTCAAAACTCAATTTCAAAGAAACTATTCAAGAAAATTTTTTTCAATCTTCATATACTGATACATATTGATGTAGCTTATTCAACTGCATCAACATTTTTTGACCTTGACCTTTCCTGTGACCTTGACCCCTTTTTTTAAAATTAGTGTTTATAAATACAGACTTACACACTTCATTCTATTGATATAACTTTAACAGTGATCCATTCTCTTTGAACAGCTGCAGCAGGGAGCAGTAACTCGGACCTTGCTTCCCTCTTTGAATGTCCTGTCTGCTTCGACTATGCACTGCCACCCATCACCCAGTGTCAGAGTGGTCATATTGTCTGCCAGGCCTGTAAACAAAAACTAAACATGTGTCCAACATGTCGTGGACCTCTAGGTAAGGAAGATGTTATCATAAGATAATATTAAAGAGAAAAACATCAAAGAGTTAATGCTTTACATGTCTTTCAAAGCGTTGATTTAGGGAGTGAAAAGTTTTTTTTAAAAAGTTATTGAATACACTGTAATAATGAAAATTCCAAAATTTTAGAGTAGGTCTGTGTATTTTTTTTTACATGTAAAAAGAGTTTTATTTAAAATCCCCAGAAATTGTGGAATCTGATGAATAAAATCTGAATAATGATAGAAACAGGAAACTAACATGAATACATTGTATATCCTCAAATAATCATGAATATACCAGTGTGTTTCATGATCGAAAACTACCAATGGAGGCAGTTTCCCCTAGGAAATGTAGTCATTTTTTTCCCAAAATTAGCTACTAGTATATTTTTTCAAATAACTTTTAAGATTTCTGTGTAAAATTTCTCCCAAAATAGACAAAAAAGGGCTTTTTCTTTAAAGCTATTTGAAGAAAAACACTGTTCACAGGGATTATTGTATATGTCCCATGTCTCTGTTTCATGTAGGCAACATCAGGAACCTGGCCATGGAGAAAGTGGCCACTACAGTAATGTTCCCCTGCAAATATTCCTCCAGTGGTTGTCCTGTAACCCTCCTCCACACAGACAAACAAGAGCATGAAGAAACCTGTGAATACAGGTAAGGTCAAAAGTCATAAGAGGGGGCATTTTTTGATTTGGCCATGATGCCGTAGGAAAATGTTAAAATCTGATATGCTGTTAGTATTTTAGTATACAGAAGGATTTTTAGGTCGATAGGTTAGAATAAATGAATATTCTTGAAACTGTGACTTTAAGGGTACAGCTATTTTCTTTTTTGGTTGTGGCCAAGCATTTTGAATATATTAAAATCAAAGGTTCTGAGTAGAATTCAGATATATCATTTCTTGTCTTCATATTGTCAGAAAGTAAACGAGTCTCAACACACTTTCATGAGAAAGTGTCAAAAATGAACAGTTTATTAATGGTTGTCTTATTATTATCTTTTCTGCACTATTCCAAAAACAATGTACATGTATAATACAATTCCTATCATCAAAGCTATCTCTTTACAGACCATATTGCTGCCCCTGTCCTGGTGCCTCGTGTAAATGGCAGGGGTCTCTGGAACAGGTTATGCAGCATCTGATGCAGCAACATAAAAGCATCACCACACTTCAGGGTAGGTAAAGTGTATTTGTTTAAACCAGCATCATTTTTAGTCCTAAATCACAAAATATCACAACTTTGACTTTATTTTTATTTCTGTGTTAAAGACTATTACCATATGGTGTCTTTTATGGTTTGTCATTATTAATGTCAGTCCAGTTTGTGAGCAAGTAGCTGGAGGAATATGTCAGCCTCTCTATCTCTTGACCAAAAATCAACTTGGTTTATTTTTGGAATATACGTGTATATTTCACAGCAGACGTGATCAATTTGTTGTTTAGTTTTTGCTGGAACCATTTCTGATCTGATGTTTCTAGGTGAAGACATTGTATTCCTGGCAACTGATATAAACCTCCCTGGAGCTGTGGACTGGGTTATGATGCAGTCCTGTTTTGGTCATAATTTTATGCTGGTTCTGGAGAAACAGGAGAAATTGGAAGGTCAGCAAATGTTCTATGCCATTGTGCAGCTGATTGGCACACGCAAACAGGCTGAGAATTTTGCTTACAGGTAGGAATTTAATTCAGGAGGAGGGGTTATACATGTGGGTAGGATTATCAGGATCATTTATATGTTTGAGTGAAAAATGAGGCTTGTTGAGTCTTAGATAGCAAATCTAGAACTCTTAGTTACATAAGTTTTTTTTCTAAATGCACAAAACTCTATGTTCTTGTTTTGAACTTTCAGACTGGAGCTAAATGGTCATCGCAGACGTCTGTCATGGGAAGCCACACCCCGCAGTATTCATGATGGCGTACAGTCAGCCATCATTGCCAGTGATTGTCTCGTGTTTGATACAAACATTGCCCAGTTATTTGCCGATCATGGCAACCTTGGCATCAATGTCACCATATCCATGTGTTGAAGGGCAGAGCTCTAGAATCATGAAGAAGGCAAACCAAAGACATTGCCCTTGTGTCTTAGTATAATATCGAAACTCTGGAATATTTTGTAAATATATTCAATGATTTGCTTTCCTTGGTCAAGACATGTGTGGTTATTTGCATTATGGTAATCTACCAAATCATTGGACAAAGTGTTGTATGGTGCTGTCTGTATCATTCATCTGAGCCAGATTGGTTTCAAAGATCATTCAAGACACAAAGGTTTCATATGACCATAGGATAGGAATTTCATGTGTTGAATAAATGTTAAGACTAGTAAACCAAAGGAATTTGACATGTAAATTTCAGAACTTGGATGTAACTTAGGCAGTAGTGCTGTATGGGCTCATACTTGAGAAAAAGATTCCCTATTATTAGTATGCCTCTTGGCATCTTGAACTTTAGTTTGTTGAACTGATGACGGACATGTTTTATACTGTTTGGAGTATTCTTGTTTCACAGTAGGGTTAGACTTGTACGTCTTTTGATCAGTGAAAAATATCAAATATGAATACATTTTTATCAAACTGTATTATAAATGCCAAAAGATGTACATTGAAGGATGTCCAAAAAACTGCAAGGCTGTACATGAAAATGAATGAACAAGGAAAGCAACTCTTGGTTTTTGTGTGAATTCATCATTAAACACAGGAATGAGAGAAAAGGATAAGAGAGAGAGAGAGAGAGAGAGAGAAAGAAGTGCATTGTCCTCAATGTTCATAGGCTATAAAGTATGGCATGAGAGGAATATTTAAATAGAAATGTATGTACAGTATATGTGTATGGACTATTGCTGAGGTACTATATATATTCTGTATAACCAGAGTTTCACAATATGCTCTGTTTAAGGAAGAAAATTACTGTACATCATATCTTAAATATTTATTGATTTTGTTGTTATTTTTCATGTGTTGTGTATGTATGATATAATGATGAGATCATTGTACTGTTATACAGTTTATTTTGGGAGGAAATCTCTTTGTTGCTTTATAATTTTTTTTTTCAAAGCCAGATGATCATCCTTGGCATAGTTATTGTTATAGTATAAATGTATATTATTTGATATAGTTTATATTTTACCCCATACAATGAATTTAATATAACTTAAGGACAGATGATGCAAACAAAAAAAAACATGGATGCTTGGGTAGTTATATATTCTTGGACATATTTTGGTTTTTGCTGTCACCCTTATAAATCTATACAACTTTTCACCACTTTATAAGATACATGTATTATTGTGTAACTTCCAATGAAAAGTTAAAAAACCTATGCAGCTAAACTTATTCAATTTTCATATATAAACACAACTTTAGTTGTTATTTTCATGATTTAAAAAAAAAGTATATCATCTGTCCTTAATTTAGAATAATACTTAAAAAAAAAAAAACAAGCACATAAGGAATATTGGGCATATGAGTGTATGTATGCTTTTAATTTCCAAAACATTTTTATCCTGATCCTTATATATTAAAAAGTTCAGAACACCTTAACATGTACCCATACTGAGGTGGGTTTTAGTGCTATCTATTGGACATTCACAAACAGAACAAGTTTGGAAATGGGATCCGTCCAAATTTTAAGTTTCAGGCATTAGACATGCCCAGGAAAAATAGCTAAATAAGGTTAAATGATTGTGTTGACTTGAGCTGTAAATTAATCTGAATTTTGTATGTAAAAGTTAAAGATATATGGAAGTAATAATATATTGGGATGGCTTGGTCATTTTCACAATCTATTTGTAACAATGCACACAGATTTAATATTAGGATAACAAATGTATTTAATAGATAACAAACACAAGAAAAATTCTTCTTTTTTCCCAGAATCATTGATTGAGACTGGGTTATAAGTGATCCTTTCTTCTTTAGGGAGTAGTGTCGTAATGAATTTATAAAATAATTTAATGTTCATTCTGCTCTTCGGTTTACCATTATTGAGACATTATAAAACCTGGTCCCAAATTTGGAAAGTATACCTTTTACAGTGTAAGTAATAAGTATCTACAGGCTTAGACACATAAAATTAGGTTTTATGAAGAGGAATAATTTGTACATGTGAATGTTTGCTATTGCACGCGGAAATGATTAAATTTATAATTTTTTTCAAAATTATTTTATAAAAATTTCAGAAAATACTCATTTTACATCGAAAATAAGATTGGAAATATTTTAGTCTCTGCCAAATGTTTTTGAAAACATATACACTAATTGCCCGCTGTGTGTTAATATAACTTTGTCAAATTCTTTAAGTTTTTGTTTTGTTGGTACGCAAGCTTAAAATCATATTTTTATGTCACATGGCATAATTCATGTATGAAAGTTGTTTTTCATGAAGTTGATGTTTAATGCTTAAACTTGTCTGCACATCCCTCATATTTATCTCATAATCCCACTGTAACCTTAATAAAATTTATGATTTAATAGTTGACCTATTATTGCATCTAGATTATACCTGCTGTAAATGTTGCTTTAGGGAGTGTTTCTACTTATAGACATCTTAGTGTATGAATATACATAATGTTAATTTGCTCTTTTAAAAAATGTTCAAATACTTAAAATTTATTTTACTCTGTGTGAATCATGTTCATTTATGTACAGATATTGGTCTATTATAGATCTGCTTTCTATGTTAGAGTAGCTGTGTATTCAAGAACACAATGTAATACCATAACTAATGTCACAGGAACTTATTTTAACTAGAGTCGAATCTACTGACTGAGGGTAAATTGAATTAAATTTCTGTGTGGGTTTAATGGTGACTTAACTTCCTAACAAACTGCCCTTCTGAGCATCCATGGCTCACAAAGTCATTAAACTTGTCAGAAATACTGGAGTCAGCAAATCTAGTTGACTGTGTATTATTTCAAACAAAACTTGCAGTTTTTGCATACAGGGATACATTGTCCTAACAAAATGCCATTCAATATGTTAAAAGGGAAGGTGTCACAATGATCTATGAGTCTGAAAATCAGAATTTTAATTTGTTTCTCCACTTTGCAATAACATTAAAGTAAGCTAGCCCACACCCCTTATAATGTAATTATTGCATATGACAGTCAGTTGGGTGGTGCTCTATTTAAATTAACATTGATTGACTGAAGTTAACTTTACATGACCTTCTTGCATTTGATATCATTATTATTGATTATTTACAGGTAATTGATAATGTTAATGCCTGTCTACATGTAAAAGTCTACATTATGAAATTCATATGTATTGATTTTTAAAGATGTTTGATTTTATGCAAAGTTGCCAATCAAAAAACCCCCAAAAATTCAAGAAGTCTTAAAATATTTTGGCAAACACCAGTTTTAACCCTCCTGTCTACACTATTAAAAGAAACAATTTGCAAATCTCTGGGGATTGAATTTGTACTAAAGTAATGTAAATTTATGTAGAAAAAAAATTAATTGCAAATCAGCATCATTTCAGGATGCATGTTTTTTTTTGTTTTTTTTTTTCTTCAACTTGTAACTGTATACAGTGTGTGATGCATTGTTTTATGGCTGCATGTATTGTAAGTAAATATTGGCAAGTTAATACTGTTTGCATTATACATGTCTTTGCAGAATGGCACATACAACTTTGTTGAAACTGAAAACCCATACAAATGTACAGTACTGTTGTGAATCAACCAACCCATTCATAGATGTACATCTAGTCATTGCTTGGAATTTTACTTTTCAACATCATTGTCATGAGTTTTTCATGTTCTGTAATATTGCAACTATGTGTAGGTGTATACACATCGCCTTATTTTCAGTGAAATGTGGAGTATTCCGTATCGTAAATTATAATCTGTGGCCCATATTTATGGAGTTCTGGCATTATAATCACAAAATTCATTATGTTGACACCCTAATGACAGAAGCACCTGTATACTTGTGGGGGGGGGTGGGGGGGGTCTCAGGTGTTCTGTGTGTGTTGTATATATATGCTTATTATATAAGTACAGGACAAACAGCATCTCCAAATACATGTAAACAATTTTTTTTTTATGTCAATCATGAACTTGAGAATGAAAGCAAACTAGGATATTTTTGTCTTTTTTGAAAACTTGGAAATGTTTGATTCTCTATTGAAATGGTAGATAGAGAGTTTCAACATCTGTGATAATAAAAGTGTGGGAAGTACATGTATTGAACATTTGTCAGAGTATAATTTTTATACAGAAAAAATTTGATCATCTCTGTAATTAAATTATCCTTGGTGTCTACAGAAAAATCTCAGCAATATTATATTTTTTTCTATATAAAGTAAAATTTGTCACAGCTGCGAACAGATATATGACACAATTTTTTTTTTTTGTTTTGTTAGTTACTTAACATCAAAGAAGATCTTGGCTAGCCTTATATATATGTCAGAGTTTTGCAAGATTGATGTATGCATTGGGCTTTTTAGGGATTGAAATGTGAACTATATATATAGATATAATAATTTAGAGGTTCCATCAGTGCCATTGTCAGAAGTACTGTAATAGGGTGGTAATCATGTTGACTGATAATAAATAAATTACATATTATAGAATTTGTTCTTGTTCATGTAGTAAAGAAGAAGAGCATGTTTAATTAGAAGATCTTTCATTACCATTTTTAGCTCACCTCGACAAAGTCGAGATGAGCTTATGCTATACCCTCGGCGTCGGCGTCCCAGTTAAAGTTTTAGGAGCAAGTCCATTCCCAAGTAACTACAAACCTTTCTGGGCCAAACTTGCATGGATGATGCATCTAGGAATGGACACTACCACACTTGCTTCGGATGCTGGATCTGACCTAGATTTTCCAGATGAATGACCAGGTTAAAGTTTTTGGAGCAGGTCCACAAGTAACTATAAATTACATATTATAGAATTTGTTCTTGTTCATGTGGTAAAGAAGAAGAGCATGTTTAATTAGAAGATCTTTACCATTTTTAGCTCACCTCTACGAAATCGAGACGGTGTCGGTGTTAGCGTAGGCGTCCTGGTTAAAGTTTTAGGAGCAGGTCCGTTCCCAAGTAACTATAAGCCCTACCTTGACCAGACTTGCTTCAATGATGCATCTAGGGATGGACACTACCTCACTTGCTTTGGATGCCGGATATGACCTGAATTTTCCAGATGAATGACCAGGTTGAAATTTTTGGAGCAGGTCCGTTCCCAAGTAACTATAAGCCCTACCTTGACCAAACTTGCATGGATTGATGCATCTAGGGATGGACACTATCACTCTTGCTTCGGATGCTGGATCTGACCTAGATTTTCCAGATGAGTGACCAGGTCAAGATTTTGGAGCAGGCGCATTCCCAAGTAACTATAAGCCCTACATGGACCAAACTTTCATGGATGATGCATCTAGGGATGTACACTAACCAACCTGCTTCAGATGCTGGATCCAACCTAGATTTTCCTCATGAGTAAATTTTAGCCTTATTTTAACCAAATTAGCATGGATGATGTATCTAGGGATGGACACTACCACACTTTGGATTTGGATTCTGAATCTGACCAACATTTTCCAGATGAGTGACCAGATTAAAGTTTTTATTCTGGAGTAGCTGTATAATATTATGGCCTGTTATGATTAAACTTGCATAGATGGTGCATCTAAGGATGAAAATTTCCAGACTTGCTTTGGATGTTGGAACTGACCAAATTTTCTTGATTAGTAAACAGGTTAAAAGTTTTTTGAGCAGGTCTATTTCCAAGTAACTATAAGTCCTACTTAAAACAAACTTGCATGGATATTGATCTTGGATGTACACTAACTAGAAAAAGAATATGATGTGATATATGCCTTACTTATAGATAACATTCGTCGAGGTGAGCTTTGTAATCTTTGATTACCTATGTTTAAATAAACTAAAATTGTTCTCTATCCATTAGGAATTTTTTAAAACGATACTCTTCCTACACTTTTGGTCCGATTTCAATAAGACTTAACGAGGTTCGCTCCTGAGCTTTTGAGCAGATTCTTATCTTAATCTATATTTCAAAAATTCTGCATAATGTTTTAATTCTTGCAATAGATTTGGATTCTACAATGCCATTTTAACTATATTCAGTTAAAACTCCATGATTAAATTCCATACCAAAAGCATTAAGTGAGGAACTATATTTTGTGGCGGAAGGTTTTTTAGAAGAAAATGATCATTTTTTCTCTTTCGAAGTATTTAAAGTATGTTAAGTTTGGATTCCTATTTTTACATGCAGGCTGCACACATAGTTATTTTGTGCAGTGGACTGTTTTATACTGGTCCTAAATTATCTATTAAATAAACTGTCATGAATTCTATCATCATATTTGATAAATATAGCAAATATATTGTTGAAATGAAGAAAAAAATAGCCCTAATTTAAGCTTAAAATTAGCACTATTTTAGTAATATCTAAAAATTAACATCACAGACCCCCACTTTTAATTTTCTTTTCTGAATATATACGATACTTTTAACCATTCTTCTTAAATTCAGTAAAATGTCATTACTTTCAAATGATTTTTTTGCTTGTTAAATTTTTAATGCCAGAAAAATGAAAATGTTTGAGTGCAAAAAGGTCAAATAATTGAACATGCGGAGTAATTCGAAAATTTCTTCGTTGTTTCAAATTTTAATGTGTCTATTTAAGATGAAATAAGACTGTGTTTGTTCATCATAATTTATTTGAACAAAAAATATTGAAGGAAAAACTTTAAAAACTGATTTATGTGTAAGACGTATTTACAGTGCAAAAAGGTCAAACTAAATGCTCTGTAGCGCCAAAAGAAGCGCATTGACCCCCATTTTTTGTTTTGATTTTTAATACAGCTATGTGTATAAATTCTAAAAATATACTTGATAAAAAATTCTCATTACTTTTGATGGCAGGATCCAACCTCCTTAATACACAAATAGACTATACAAAGATACATTTCTTTGAAATTCTTTCAAAATGCTTCTTGGTCTGATTTCAGTAAGAATTGGTATACAAGTAGACTATACAAAGAAACAAATATCTATATAATTATCTGTTTTTGATTTTTGTCAAACAATGTTCCTATGAATACTTAAAAAAAAGAAATTTCTCTGAAATTCTTTCAAAACGCTACATCCTACAGTTTTGGTCCGATTTCAATAAGACTTTGAAAGTAGACTGTGCTAGGATACATTATTCTGTGTATCAGTTTGATTTCCAGGAAGAGTGTTGCCATTGTTACTTAAAATAAAAATTTCTTTGAAATTCTTTTAAAGCATGACTGCTCCTTCAATTTTTAGCTCACCTGAGCCGAAGGGTCAAGTGAGCTTTTCTGATCGAAATGTCGTCCTTATCGTACACTCACATTTTCATCTTCTTCTCAAGAAGCACTTTGCCATTTTCAACCAAACTTGCCACAAAGTATCCTTTGGTAAAGGGGATTCAAGTTTGTTCAAATGAAGGGGCCACGCCTTCTTCTAAGTGGAGATAATTATGAATTCGTGAAAAATTAATGGCATCAAATCTTCTTCTCAAGAACCACTGTGTTTGACAATATGAAACTTATGGGGAATCATGGTGAGGTAGTGTTGATTCAAATTTGTTCAAATCATGACCCCCGGGGGTAGGATGGGACCACAATGGGCAATCAAAGTATTACATAGGAAAACATAGGCAAAAATCTTTAAAAATCTTCTTTTCAAGAACAGCAAAGCCATGATTGGTCATATTTATGTGGAAGTATCCTCAGGTAGTGTAAAATCAAGTTTGTTCAAATCATGACCCCTAGGGGGTAGGATGAGTCCACAATTGTTGATCAAAATTTACATAGGAATACATAGGAAAAATCTTCAAAATTCTTCTCAAGAACAGCAAAACCATGATTGTTCATAATAATATAAAAGCATCCTTTGTTCAAACCATGACCCCAAGGAGAATAGAGGGTCCATGACAGGGGATCATAGCTATAAGGAATATAAAGGATATATCAATTAAAAAAAATTCTTAAGGATCAATGATACTCTGATAAGAGAGATAACTCTTAATTGGATAAATGTCTATTATTTCTTTATAAATTTGTCAAGTTTAAATGCCTTTTTGTCTAATTTTGCCCCGCAAGCTATGTTAAAATTGTATGCATTTTACTTATAAAATATTTTTCTTTTGGAAAATCAGGGGCGTTAGAGAAACATTTCGTTTAAGTGAACAGAGGGTTTATGAACTTTAAGAACAGCAAAGCCATTATGTGTCATATTAATTCAAAATCATCCTTAGGAAGCGTAGATTCAAGTTTGTTCAAATCGACCCCCCCCCCCCATTCCACGAACCACTTTTATATTTAAACTTTTCAATACTGAACTGATTTCTGCTTTTTCCTAGCCAAAGTGAACAGGTGAGCGATGTGGCCCCTGGGCCTCTTGTTAACTCTACTGGTTAGAAAATACTTTCAAAATGCTATTTCTCCTACAGTGGTCGTCTGATTTCAATAAAACTTGGAACACAAGTAGATACATGTACAATAAGATACATAATTCCATTTATTAAGATTTGATTTGGATGAACACTGTGCAATGTTTACTAAAATTAGGATAATTTTGAATTCTTCAAAAATGCTATTCTCCTATAGTTTTTTTTTTTTTTTTTTTTTTTTTTTTTTTATAAAGGAGTTGTAACGAAGTGAAAATACGTTATTTGTTCCTTTTGAAAAGCTTTTTAGCTCACCTGAGCTGAAAGCTCAAGTGAGCTTTTCTGATCACCCGTTGTCCGTCGTCCGTCCGTCCGTCTGTCCGTCCGTCTGTAAACTTTTCACATTTTCAACTTCTTCTCAAGAACCACTGGGCCAATTTTAACCAAATTTGGTACAAAGCATCCTTGAGTGAAGGGGAGTTTAAATTGTTAAAATAAAGGGCCAAACCCCCTTACAAGGGGAGATAATCAAAAAAAGACAAAAATAGGGCGGG